ATCCATTCACCGTGGAAACAGCTGAGTGACAGGATTCATTAACATTTTTTACTAATAATTTTCCTGAATAAGAGGACGTGGAATTTATGCTCCGGCTACATAACATATAAAACAGCAACAATGTTAATAGCAGAAAATGTATGAATAATATACAAGACATGGAAAAGCATAATTATTCATGAATTAAAATACATTGTATAATTACAATCAGTTTTCCTCCTTTTTGCCAAAGACATGCTGTCCAGACAAGACGGGGGCTCTAAATCTTCCTTAGCAACTGCTCCACAGGTCTATGTTCTGTCTTTGTTTACCTCTGTCTATGTTCATGTTTATGGGCTCCAGGTCACCATAACCCTCGCAGCATTACCGATGGCGGGACCAAGCAGGGAACACAGTGATACCCTCTACATCATTCATGTCCTTCTTAACATACCTAGGCCTCAAGCACCCATGCGGTGAAACTGCAACAACACCAAGGCCGCATTGAAGAACACAGGACTTTATAACTGAGGTCGTAAGGACAGAATGCTGTCTCACTCCCCAAACTGCACAGACCCCTGGGGCTCCTTCCACAGGCCAGCCTCCGAGTCCTCAGCAGGCTGCTGACTGTGGCTGAGCAGGAATCAGGCACCAAATGGGGCAAGGAAAAAAAAGGCAGGATGGATTAGATAAGCTGTGTCGGGAGATCAAGTCACAGAAACCAAGATGGGAAGCAAGACCAGATTCCTCAGCATGAACCAACAGAGAGAAACTGGACTAATCAAATGAACCCAAATCGCAGAACCAAACAAAACCAGAGAGCTAAGAGATTAAATATACCCTAGACCAGGGGTCTCCCACTCCGGTCCTGAAGAGCTACCGTCCAGTAGGTTTTCTATCTCAGGTAAATACCAGGAACAGGTGTGGCTCATCAGAAGCCAAGTGGGACAGAAAACCTACTGGATAGTAGATCTCCAGGACCGGAGTTGGAGACCCCTGACCTAGACTGTCAGACTAAGAGAAGAACCTGCCATGGCAGAGACAGAAGACATGGACAGGAACAAGCTTAAATATGTTGACTGATTATACAGGATGATCTTGAGGTGAGCGTGGTTGTGGGAATCACCCACGGCTGCAGCAGGTAACTAGCAGCCTGGATCCCGGACCAGAAACAACATCAGGAGCAGCTGATAAGTTGTTTTCTCAATGTGTAACTGAGCCTCAGCACAACTTTAGGGCTGTGAGTACTTTGCTCTCCAAGACAAACTTTGCGTCTCTGACTGGATCAAAGGTTACTTAAAACAAATGTCTGAATCTCCCCTGTACTAGATTTTGAAAAAGGCACAATTATTAATCACGTCAATAATAGAAATGATATAATTACTAAATGAGAATAGAAGAAACATTGACTTTGTAAAACATGTACACTGGCCATGATATTTCCCTCTGTGACTTATGTAATATATAATGAATATCTTATGTATACATAGCTCTGGATTAGCTCTCAAAGAGGTACTTTGGGCCAAGGAGATGTGAAGAGGATGTGCATCAGTGAGTGTATATGTGTGTGACAGAGAAAGAGCAAGTTTAAATCAGTGCCTGCATCTCTTATGGTGAGAATGGTACAGCTGTGTCTCCTGCACTGGGTAATCTCATGTCTGCAGTAACGCAGGAGTGCCACATTCAGGCCATCAGATCTCCCTGCTTTGGTGGTGGAGTACTGGAAACGCTTCGCCAGGAGCTCTGCGGAGAGCCGAATCCTCCACAAACTGCTGTAATCCCAAGTTCAAATATTTTGGCTGGAACTGAAACTCTCCAAGCCACTCTATGCAAAACCCCTGTGGTCGCTCTGCACTCAAATACAGGGCTGCAAACAGAGACCTTCCCTGTGATAATTTAAACCTCGCGTGAAGCATTGAGGATTTTCACCTTCTGTACCTCTCCCGTTTGGCTGGGGCCTGACGCCACGGTACCAGAATATACAACTCAAACACACACACACACACACACACACACACACACAAACATGCAAGTACACACCTCGGTCACACAAAGGTTTCCCTCTTCGTTTCTGGTCCCAAAGTCATAGGAGCAATGGTCTTGTCATAAAAGCTGATACAAGTCGACAAAAAAATAAAGAACATATCAATCAATGGACACCATTCCACCTTCCATGAATACAAAACGATGAGTCAGCTATTTTATTTTATAGCAAAGCCTACAGTTTTTCTTTTTAAGTCTGTATGAGAGATGTTCATCTTCCTTGTGCCTCTGAACTTGGCTCAAAGATAAATCTTGTCCCTGGACTGAGAAAACAGCACAAGATCTATCTTCAGAAGCCCCCCGCAAACAGGACGGCCTATGGTCAAGGTCACCAATTCAACCTAACAAGGATTCGGTCCTGGTAGCTGGGTAGACCCAGCAGTGTGTACCTTCAAACACAGTAGGACCAAGGATTATGTGCACAGGAGGGAAGAGAATATCAAAAGTTATTTATTCCGTTTGCCAAGAAAATCATCATATCCACAGCGACTTACACAGGTCATGATTTTAAATGTCACTGTTTTTTGCAGAGTCCCGACTGCAAGGTCCCTCCCAAGACATGAACTGCTGACCTTTAGATCATAAATTCTTAACCACCATCCAACCTTGTAGGGAAGGACGGCAGCCCTTCTGGTCTGCATCTCCTGGCATCTGAGAAGAGCACAATCATTTGATAAATGAAACTTTACATCACCTGCCAGGTATCAAGCTTGCTCGTCCGAGGGGAAAGTTAATCTACCTTGATGCATTTTGAATAATTGTCTTGACAGACTGATTGAAATATCAATCAATCAATCTAATATCAATCAATCAATCAATACAGTAAATAAGTAAGAAAGATTAATCTGACTTAATCTAATTTGATGTTATATGCATCAGAGATTCAGCTGGAAACGAACCGACAGGAGTCAGTCTCAGTGACATGTCATTTACAAATCATCGTGTGGCATTTCACACTGTAAAGGCATGTTTTTGCAATCTGCTAGGCAGACTGTCTGTTTTATTTATGTTTTATAATTTTTTTGCATTGTACCATATATTATGCCCTGTGAAAGACGGAAATCCCATCAAGGGTGTCCCCTGCCCTGTGCTCCTGTGCTGCTTTGGATTGATTCCAGGATTTTCATGATCATGTACAGAACATGTGCTTGAAAGATGGATGGATGGACGTACCATATTTTATACATACGTCATGTTCAACATACTGCCACAGAGGCCGTTGCTCTTCCCGCAGTTCGACATGATGGGCCAGGCAGTGCTGAGCCCCGGGGCGCGGCTGACAATGAGAGAATGGCCTGCCGATGGGAACAGAGCCTGCCTACTGGCAAGAAAGACTCCACCTCTGCCTGATTTATCCAGCACCTGTTGGAAACATCTGTGCTGGCCCCTCATGAGTGTTTTAAACATTGTGAGCAGGAGGGACTTCGGCTCCCCCCATAACATCCACAATGTTTCTCATTCGTTTCACTGATCAGCAAGCTTATCGCACCGGGTGAGAAAGACAGGAAACAGTAGGCAACATTAAGGGGGAAACTGCAGGAAACAGAGGTTTGGAATGAGGGCCTGATTCACCGTCGACACTGATGAGCCAATGTCACAGTATAATCACAGTCAGAGGAAGGAGAGACGGCATGGGTGTGCTTCCGGAAAAAAAAATACACAAACAAATACTATCGTCTTAAAAGCTTCACAGTAGAGATGCATTAGCGTTGAGCTTCACGGCACTGATCTTGCAATATGACCTCTTTAAGTCTAACATCCCACTAATTAGCTCAGTAAACTGAGAGGCCAGAAGAAATATGAAGGTTAATGGATTATGAGTGTTTACAAAACATACAGCATTTCAGACATACTCATTATGGTTTCATCAGCATAAAAAGAAAGACAAAGAGAAAAAAAAAACGTTTGTGGGGTAAATTTAATCCCATATGCTGTAAAAGGACTGACACTGAAATGGGTTTGAAAGTGTTGTTATAATAACGATAATTTGTTTTTTATTGCTGTTGTGTAGTTCTGCTGCACTATACGCATAGAGAAGCACACCAGGTAACTACATAAATTCTTGGCTGACAGTTGATAAGCACTTCCCAAACTGCTGTTGGGGGTTTCCCAAAATATACCGTGGCTACCTTAAACTCTGATACCCACCTATTAGTGATATACAAGCATAGTCCCCAGTTAACAAAAAATAAACAATGCATAATCCTCTATTATCTCAAAAAACTGGGCCTGTAAAGAGTTCTGGATTACTGTGCCCATTGAGTTGTGCATCACTCTCTGCATCTGTATCCAACGGACACTGCACGGTTATACACTGTGCTCCCAGTGGCCTCTGTTACTTCAAAAGGGGCTTGTCAACGGCCCCTGAGGGGGTTCTGGGACCAAGATTAATACAGCTTCACTTTCAGCCCCATGGGAGCAACGCATAACCCAGCAAGTTCAGTAAACAAATACAGAGATGACTTCTGTGTGGTACTGAGGGGAAGAAAATTACTTTTACAGGAATAATGATTAAATAAACATGCCAGAAATCCATTAGCTCTGAAGATGTTTTACCTCAGAAACAGGAAGACAATGCAAATGAGGCTTATGAAGCGAAGCAGAAGTGGCAAACATTGTATAATAATTAATACCCATATTTCAATAGGGAAGTGCACAAAATTTTGTCTACAAATTTGGTAAGGATCAAAGCTGCTTGGATATTCTACTTTCCATACCTTCACACCCTGATCAAGGAAAAGCCAGCTAGTGGAAGCTTTAATGCTGCAAAATATCTGCAGGAGTCTGGTGCCCATTCACAGAAACATGAAAGGAGACGGAAGCCATTTTCCTCACTCTGAATCAGCTCCTGTGCTATTTCCCATCAACTAGTCTGAGTATCCATGACATCGCAAAACCTTTATCTTCTTCATTAACAAGCAGACAGCGTATGAACATGCACATATGCAGAAAAGGCAGACAGATCCAGCCTTTCTCACCTCTCAGCCAGGTTCCATACATCTCACTCTTCCACTGTGCTGGAGTGCTGTGTTCCAGGGCGCCCCAACTCCCTCTCAGAAAGCAGTTGTATCTGCAAAAGATGCAGAACACTTTCTCTTGGTGTGTGGAGATAAATAAGTATACCATGAATAATCTCTGGAACACCTGGCAGGTCCAGCAGGGATTTGGACAGAAAATTATATCATTGTTCATCTGAATGGGTTTCAGCTCCTCTCAGTGGTTAGGAGTTTGCAGCCCCCCGATGGATATAAATAGGATTCTATAGAATCTTTAGAAATGGCTTGAGGATTCCGTGGGTTGACACTGCCATGGAGCTTAAAGAAACTCTTCACCCAAGGTATTTTGGCAGGAAAGGAATGAATGAATGAATGAATGAACGAACAAACAAACAAATAAATGAACAAAACAACAAACAATTGAATGAACAAACGCACAAACAAAGAAAGAGTCTGAGAATTTTTAAAGAAAAACTAAAATTTACAGATGGCTTGATGAAAACCGTGTTATGAGCAAAACCACAACATAATATTTACATCAGATTTTGTGTTCACGGCTGCATGGGGACTGGGACAAATGTGACCAGAACTGTGGGATGCTTTGGATGCTTTGGCAATCTCAGCAACTGACAATCAAGGGCAAAGCAGGGCTGAAGAGTCATCCTCCTGGCCTCTAGCTCCTAGCTGTTTACCTTCAAAAAGCCCAAGAAGTCCTGTTGAATACTGCACTAATTTACATATCTCACATTGATCTCTCACTGCTGCATGTCAGCTCAGATTACATCAGGTGTAGATGAAGCATGAGAACCTAGAGCAACACAAGCTGATGTGAACCATGAAAGAATGCAATAACATATTCATTAACGCGGCACCAAAGCAGAAATATAGCTTGATAACCGTAAGGAGGGTTACGTAGAGCTGAAGAATATGGCAGAACCTGGGACCCACATTATCGTGTTATTCAAATGAATTAGTGCAGTCATGACAAGTGACACCAAGCAATCTGAGGGAATTCTGTTCAATGTTCTTCGCATTTCTTTTCATAAAGTAATTTTCCTTCTCACAATAGTAACAAAAAGCCATCTGGTAATACATTATTCAGGTCCATGAACAAAAATGCTGCTTTTCTTCTTCAAAGGGAAAGTCAGGAGAATTGGTCCTTATAATAAAATGTGCTGTATTAATTCAAAAAGCACGCTTGTATCAAATGTCGATAAACAAAACATTGCACAGTACAGTATGAAGAAGCTAACCAAAATACCTCAAGAGACTATAAACATGTTGATTTTCAAAGCACACCACCTTGGTTTAACAGGAACACTTAGCTCTCAGTCTGCATCTTCTGCGTAGCTGGGAAATTCACCATCCAGGTCCATAACACCTCTTCTGTGCATTTTATTCAAATTCCTCCCACATGGCAATGTTGACTTTGGGGGACTATTTTCCTTTTATATGTATTGTAATTCCGCTACATGATCCAGATTAATGTAACCACTCACACACAAGCATGCATCGATGCATCAGAGTTTCGACCCATGACACCTTTCACTCACTAACACACATCCAGAAAGGTCATCCCTCGTCAGAATGATCTCCGAGTTTAATTGTACAAGAAACCTACATATAGACCAACTGTGTAAATGAAGTTGAGGTGCTTGGCACACAACTTCATGCTCACCGTTGGGGTTTCCCGCCAGATGAAACTGTGATCTTAATAGCACCTAAAAATGTGAAGAAATGCAGTTTTGGGGTTTTGTAGTATATTTCATTAAACTTCTGAAGTGGTTGACTGTGCAACGCCAATCCAATATATTGCATTTGTGCTGCTAAGGGGAAATCCGTGCAGACACCAGATTATGTGGAGCGCAATAAATGAATGATGTTTCTGAACGGTGTTAAGAGGGGAGTGGACTGTCTGCCGTGGCCAACGCTCTCCGTGGTTATATATATATATATATATATATATGTGTGTGTATATGTGGATCAGAATTACTTCTTAATGCTATACCGCAGCCTTAAAAGGCTGAAACTGCTCAACAGTAACAAAAAGACGAATAAACTAAACCTTTCTTCATAAATATTCCTGATGTGAGATGATGAATGACAACAGGAGCAGGCTGGAGTGGTCCGTGGTCATGTTTCATTTTGTGCAGAAGACCTTTCTCACTCTGAGTAGGATGACATGTTTAACAGCAAATAAGAACTGTGCAGTTCATCGACATGAGACAGAGATGGAAAATACAGCAGATATGCTGTGGCACCTTCTGAGGCAGAAATCTGCCATGTGGCAGGACAGCAGGGTTTAACTAAAACCAAATGTCTTTCAAAACCCAACTTCAATTCAAAAATGGGGTCATGGCCCCTTGAAATAAACAAAACAAAGAGAAGCAAAAACGCAAAATACAATCTGAAAAATAAAGGAGGGAAAGAAGCCAGCACATGAAGACACGAGTCTCTTTTCACAACATAGCCAAAACACCCTCATCTTTTTTCAGATCCACCAAGTTCACCCTTTAACCAGTAGTATTACGTTCAGCATTTTACCAGTAAAGCACTTTTTATGTGCAGGGCTAGTTATCACTTGGCATGCAGACGCCATAAAAATCACCCAGACCAAGCTCCTTGACATTTTTCGTCACCTGCTGAGTCACACTATTGGCAGATGCATAATTATTAAGGACTAAAACTGATTTGGGAGGTTGGGCACGTTTTAAAGCACGGGAAGTGCATTAAGGGACAATCAATATAGCATGTACAAGAATATGTGCACATGCTGTATATCTAAAGGAATAGATCATACAGTCACCTTCTTTTGTGTCTTTGGGGCATTGAATATGGCACGCATCAGCCAGTTTGTGTGAACCAAGATGCTGTTGATAGGGTCAGAGGTAAGGTTAGCAAGATACTGCTAGCAACCTCTGGCTATTAGCATGAAAAGAATTGAGTAGCAACAAGCTAACCGCTAATATAACTCATGCATAATGCCCTTCTCCTTTGCTACGTGATTACGGCTACACCTCATCTTGCTAACCATCAAACACTTCATCCAACACTTCTATTCCGCCCACTCAGCATTGAGCACTCCCCTGTGGATTAGATGTACAGCGTTACAGCTATATCATCCCAGCTGACACAAAACCAGAACAAATCTAGAAAGTGCAGAGGAGTCAAGGCGTAATGGGAAAGCAATGTAAACAAGCAGCGTGCAAACAAGAATTTAACAAAAATTAAGGGTCCGTCTTTTAACTCGCAGAGAGAGACTCTGTGATCTGTCTGCCTAATGAATTTTGTGAGTCTGGTTTCTTTTTTAATAATAAAGCCAAAGATGTGCTTCATGTGTTATTAATACTTCCTTTTGGATTCCATAAAGCCTACGACATTTAGACCAGTGGCCTGCTAAATATACCTCACACCTGGAATAAACCTGCTCCATTAAATATCAGTCATTCCTGTAAGCTGAGACCATGCTTAATCTTGTCCGGGGATTTCACTAGGAAACCCAGAGTCTTCCTATACCCACAGATAACTTTACTTAAACCACAGCATGAACAGATCTGTGAAGCGGAACTGAAATTCAACAGAGATACTTTTTCCTTTTACACTTCAAAAACAGAAATGAGTATTTACATTATGTGCAGCATTGCCTCTCGTCTGACCTACTAAATCACTCATGGTTATTAATATTTCTGCGCGGCTGCTACATCTTCTGTGCAGCGAACTTGTCAAAAAAGATGCTCGTCGTAGGTTTCCTTGCCTCTGGTGACTCGCTGGTGTCCCAGACGTCACTGTTTCCTTTCCAGACCTGCATTTCGAATTGGTTTAATTCTTGTTGCTTTTACAAATTCTTCTTAACATACCACATACTTATTTATTTGCAGACAGGCTCCTGTAATCTATATTTCATCAGTTTCCCTCAGTAGCGAACTGGCCCCCCACCGCCTGCCGCTTCCATTATCTTCCTGTTTCCTCTCTGGTCGTCAGCCCTTCCTCCGCCCTTTCCCATGCTGTCCTCTGCTAACCAGCCACTCGTTTTCTCCTTCACTTCCTACAAGCTAAATGCTCTTTTCAACTTTCAAACCTGTTTATCATCCCATTAACTTTTCTGCTCCCCTTTATCTTAAATCTATTTTTCATTTGTAATCACCGTTCATTCAATAAGACGATTATCTAGAAGCAGATTAGGATCTCCCCAGTCACTTGGTCCTAATTATTCTAAATAAGTATTTTAGCTTTTTGGAGGTGGAAATAAACATGTATTGTTATTCAGTTCTCTCTTGGTTACTGAGTCACTGCCTAGATTCATATACATATATCAGTGGTATTAGTGGCATGGCGGGTAGCACTACGCTGGGGGCCTCCTTCCTATCCCTGGCTCTAAACGTGTGAAGTTTGCACATTGTCAGTATGCTTGCACCAATTTCCACCTGTATCCCCAAAACACGCATTTGGGTGAATTGCCTATAATGTGTGAGCGTGTGCTTGGCCTCACATTCAGGGTGTCCCCTGCCTTGTTTCCTCTGCTTCCATGGATACGCTGCTGGCTCAATGTGTCGCTGGTCTGGAAAAGGAGGCTGTAGGAGACGTAAAAGTCGAGGAAACTTCTAATCATCATAATCAGAATCATCCAAATAATCATCACTGTATCTCCCCACACCTCAGCCCATCTAACAAAACATGCTGCTACATTACACCATTATCTGCACTAAGAACATTTTATTTTCATTTACATAATTTATTTCCCATATTCTCTTGATTGTCCTTGATTGTTTTGCATGAAACCCAAAGTAAATTCCCTGTATGCAAAATTATTTGGCGAGAAATAGATGATTCTGATTCTGAAGGCCTAGTGAGCATGGAATTTAATCTCACATTGCTCAGCTATACATACTGTAAGTTATGTTAGAAATAGTAACGGTCTGTTTGTGCATATAGCCCGTCTTCCCTCAGGAAAAAGCTGCACAACATCCGCGACATGACTACAAGATTTAATTATTTTTTTTGCTGTCAGGTCGTTGAACTGTGACTCTTCTCGTATAAAGTACGCCAATTGACATAAGACCTCACTGTGACTATT